CTCTATATGACAGACAAGTTTGGCAGTTCAATCTTTCAAACAAAAAGCTTCTCTTTTGGTATGCAATAATACATGCAATTCCAAGCAGCACAATGGCAGTAACTGAGCAAATGATTGGTATTATTAGGTTCATGTTTGATTCCTTTTTTGAGTGTTGGGCATTGCTGTTTCGAACAATTTCATAGCTATTTTCAGGCGTTAGTGATAAATTTGTTTTGACCTCAGCGCACTTTTCAACACCAGAGACAATCATACCGCCACATCTCAGAGCTGCCACCTCACTACCAAATAAAAAATATAGAAAAATGACTAGATTTTCAACTGTTAAATTACATATTCATTATTATTTACGTAGTAAAAAATCGCTTTTACTTATAAATTGCATACGATATTTGTGTCTTGCAACTATTGAAAATGCCTTAGGATGCTCGTGCTAATATAATTTCCTTCTCTTCATGATGTACAAAAGTTGTTGAAATCAAATAGATCATTAATCAAAATATGTTTCAATATTGATTCACAAAAGTGCCGTCATTTGCAAATTTGGAGATCAATTCCATAATAAACATAACATTTTATATGTGATTGAAAATTTAACTTAAATCTAAGACTGTTTTATGATCTCGGGGCCTGTTGCTTATCTTTTTTAACTAGTCTACGAATTAAAATTTCTATCAAATCATCACATAAGACTGTCGCGTGTGTGGCACAGTGGTGGTTGGTTGCAGAGTAAGGAATTGATCCTTATGCATGTATGTCGTGGAGACCGGTCCTTTGGATTAAACTTTATTAACTGATGTATTGTGTCGCAGTAGATGCTGGCACGAAAAGGATTCCTCACTGCTCAAAAAAGCAAAAATCAGTTCCGTTTTGATAAGCTTGAGTGCATAAGAGATCCCGACCTTCTCCTAAAAGGAAAGAATATAATTTGAACAAAATTAAATCCAAACTTATTAAGGATGCCTACGTATTTTTTCTGCGTAACTGTGGCTTTTTTCCTGCGAGTTTGAACTTTCATTGTGGTCCCATCCTATCCCCGGGAGCCATGATTTGAATAAAATTAAATCAACACCACCTGATGATGCTTCCTTATAAAAATGATCAATAATGTCCTTACATTTCACGAAAAGAAGATTTTAAGGATTTTGTTCTAAATATTTGTATGTTTAACTTTGATCGACCTTTGTGACCCTACCATAGCCAAAGGGGTCGTGATTTGAACAAAATTGAATCTAAATAAATGTTAATCTACCTGATGATGATTCCATATGAGTTCATCTTTCAGGCCAGGGGTTCTTAACGAAGCCCAGTCTAATTATTTCTACTCTGGGGATTTCGATAATTTTTCATTAATTAGTTTTTTAAGCTTAAAAATCGAATGTTTACTATACCGATTACTTAGGGAGCCGTTTGAAAAGTTGTAAAATTTTACAATTGAACCTATAAGAAGTTGTTGGAAAAGCGTTAAAGTATAACATTTTCCCCATATATTTTGTATATCTGCCCTAGAGATTTCTTTCTAAGTCGAGTAGATGAAAGTTATTGGTAAAGGTTACCAAACTGTGAAATTTCAAAAAATGTTTCCCATCGAGGTCTTTTAGAATTACAAAATTTTTTTTTTCGATGAATAATACCTCTAAAATTGCCATATTGGGGTATGGATTCATATCGGTGTAGATGATTTTTTAAAAAATACTATGCTTGTATTGCTTGTATGTTTCTTTTGATGTTCTTTCATCGGTTTTAGCGTAATATCAAGGGATGTCGTAAAATAAACGAGTAGATTTTTCTGCCTTGTGCATTGCTTACAAAATCGGGAAACAGTGACGTTGTTAGAGCGTTTTCCCTAATCATTCTTTCAGCGTAGTGGGCGTTACAGATACATGAAATAAAAAATTAAAATCACAATATTTGGGAAAAGTATACTGTCGCATTTATGACTGCATGAAATTTAAAAGCTGCGCAAAGTCATGCGCACTCGAATTAAACTAGAATTAAATGCTATACTTGCATCATTTTTTCACTATTTTGCATTTATCCCCCTTTGGGAGAGGGCTTGACCCTTTATTTGAAAAGATCTTAATTCCCTTCACCCAAGGATACTTTGTAACAAATCTTGTTGAAATTGGGTCTGTGGTTCTGGTGAAGATGAAACTGTTAAAAGTTAACGACCATGACATCAACGACAGACAACGGACAAATTTCGATAGGAAAAGTTCACTTCAGCCTTCTGCTTATGCGAGAGTACAATTAAAATATACGGCTTATGATGTATGTGACAGATGTTGCCAGAAGATGCTTAGTGAATACCTATTCCAGGCAAAATTGCTTCGAGCCAACAACATATAGTGTAACATCATCCAGTTTAAAATCTCACCCTCAGATCTAGGATTTCTACTTGATTTTATGGGAAAAAAATTATCAATTTAAGGGATCCGACCCTCTGCTAAAAACTTCACTTAAGAAAATTTAAAATCTGTAATATTAATTTCATAAACATTAATGACATTAGAGCCACATGAAAAATAGTTTGAAGTATGTGGTGCTGCTTATTTTTTCAGAAATGAGTTTTATGTCAGATTATGATATGAAGAAATTACAACACAGAGAATAGAAACAGAAAGGATTTATTTTCACAACATTAGATTCAAAATATCAGATGCATATGAAAATAATACCGGTACATAGTATCATATCTATTAAGATCATGTTAGAAAACATCATGAAGCGATGCTTCCTAAGTGAGAAAATCACAATGGTGTATGTGGTTGTAAGATAAAAATAGAGGATTTTTCTTTCTTCTAAATATTTCTTCATGTGAAAAAAAATGTCATTCTAAAAAAAAAGTCTGAATTAAGTACTTGAAACATTAAACCATTTTTAAAATGGTACTTAAAAAATTCAATTCATTAGGTTTTTGAAGTTTGGATTTAGATGTTTTATTGTGAAATATTATAAAACAATTAGAAAGAAACTGGCAAAAACAAAATAGAAAGTAATGTTTCCATCATAAATTAGATTTTGTCAATTTGACTACTCATAGGTCTAGATTAGGAAACTGATCATGAAAACTCTAAAAAGTATTCATTTTTTGTACCCTGAAAGTTATCATCTGTCTTATCAGAGCTTAATAGGCCTCCTGTTTTCTACTTATGATCAAAAACATTGAATGGATGATTAAATTGATCGATTATCTAAGCATGAAAATATATATCAGATCCTTCATTCTTACAACCTTTAATTGGTGTTTCGTGGCATTTAAAGGTAAGGATGGCAAAAAATCCCTACTTAAAACACACAAACACATCCAAACACTCTAAGTTTGGCCTGCCTATGAACGTAGATTCAAGGTAACATATAGAGAGGATTTACTTCTAACATTGTGGCTTGAGACAAAAAAAGGGTGGCCAGATCAAAAATATATATGTGTTTCTGTGTTGCACCGATAAAGATAAGTTGATTTCATTTGAACATTTTTTCTAAAAATTATAGATATATATGTATGTATGATTTGAAAAGCAAAAATTCGGCACTTTTATTATATGTTTATCTATTAAAATGACGACTTTCACTTTTAAAAATGACTTTTATAACCTTCGACTTCAAAAATCGCACAAAACTGTGGCTGATACACCTCTGAATCGACGATATCATACCAAAATACCCAATGACTATATCTGCGGTATATCACATATCTTTTGAGTAGGAGTGATTTTAAATTCTACGTAATTATGCGTAATTTATAAAACAACAGAGAACATGGAGACAGCAAACGATTTGTTTACTTTACGTTGACAAAGCAGTGTTTATCGGGGCATTTAAGCCCAACATGCTCTCAATTTAATTGCGGCATATTGTCCTGTGCATTGCTTCTGGAAGTAACTATCCTCTAAGTTATCACAAAGTTTAAAATGTCATTTAAAAAAAAATTAAGAAAAATCCTAGAAAAAAATTCTTACTAGCGCTCAGTTCATGTTATTGAGGATTGGACCGTATGATCGTTTTAAAGGTTCAATATGTTAGCATAGTATTAAACAATATAGACTATTATCGATTATTCGTAGAAATAATTTTTAGAAGATACAATTTGATTTGTGTAAGTACATATGGAAAGATGCAGTTTGTTTATTGTTCAATATATAACAAATTTATTAATGAAATAAACATTTAAACCTACAAGTGCGAAGCTTTGTGAGAAAGAAGTCGATCACGATTTTTAAAGATCAAAATATAAAGCAAAAGAGTGATATCTATGTGACATTGGCAACACTGGATATACATGTACTATGTAAACTGATTTTTATCCAATCAAATGACACGATAGAGACAAAATTAAATTATTTTATTAAAATATAATTTTTTGGTTACTATTTCTAAATTTCAAGATTTAAGAGAAAAGCATTTAGCTTTCTAACCAAGGTTATACCCGTAAAACTCCGGGAGCTTTTAAATTTTTTTCTTATAATCAAATCTCCTATTAGAAGTTTTAAAATTAAGTTCATCTCTCAAAAATACTTTCAAATTAAGCACGTTGTAAACGTAACATCAAATAGATTAATTACTTTTAAGTCATTTTGACGTAGACATGCAGTTTATTAAAATTTCTATCCAATCAAATGACGCAAAACAATTACAATTTAATTTCTTTATAGTAAAATTAATTTCTTGAGATTCTATGATGAAGATACATGTAACAAAGTTCAAGACATTTTAAGAAATTCAATAGTTATTATCACCTGATTCAGAAAACAAATTGCGGCATGCATGTTTAAGCTAAATCTCGAATATGAGGGGGTGGGGGTGGGGGTGGTGGAATCAGATACAAGTTTGAAATTTTTTACTGGCACTGGATTTTGAGAAAACCGTTTTCAGAAATCTCAGTGGCTCTTAAGCCCAATCTTGCCTCTGTTTTGAGAGGTTACTATTCTATGCCCATTTACAAATCTATATTAGACACGGGCAAAATGCCATGAAATCCAATGCTGTTATTGAAAACTTACCCAGCTCTTCCTAAAGAAAGAAAAATAAGGCATGTCCAGTAGGCTTTCATTGTTACCTAAAATGAATAATCATATCTACACAAAATATGAAATAACTATGGTTGAATTTTTTTTTTTTTTTTTTTTTTTCTTTTTGCTTTATTGTAAAATCACATGTTTTCGAGGGATAAAATTTCCATTGTATGAGAAAAATATATTGGTTCAAGGGGATTTGATTTACTGGATAAAGAGTTGTTCAGAAGTAGTATGCATGAAAAATTGCATTTCTTGGTGGATTTAAATTGATGGGTCTCTTTATACATTGAAAACCACGAAAAATAAACCCCAACAAAAATTTTTATTTCACAGTATTTCACATAAAATCAATACATATAATTTGATATTATTTCGGAAACAGATGTCACCAAACAAATATAACAGACAATAAACAAAATATAGTTAGTGCAGATTCAAATTTGGTATAAAATAGAAATGATTGGTTAATTGATTGTATGTTTTACGTCTCATTCGTTCAATTTTTACTCATATTTAGACGTCACCATATACAGATGAAGGTCTCAAATTTTTACTCGGCAATCATGGCCATAGACCACTGGGAGATGTTTATCGTGCCAACGTCTGCCGTGTCACGGGACCTCGGTTTTTAAGCTCTCACCCGAAGGACCCAAAACTTTTACTTCAATGTGCCAAGGAGGTGGCAAAGAAACAGTTGCTATCTATTTTTTTTACAACTTAGTCAGTCGCGACCAAGATTCAAACTCACGATCACCAACCGTACACGGAGCGAGCGCTCTACCGACTGAAAAATAATAGAAGAATAAATCACTATCTATATTTGTATTAGTTGATAATTAAGAAAAAAACATGGTTCGTGTACCTGAACTGAAAGGGATGCTCTTTTTGAATTTAACTAATTGCAACAAACATATATAACCTTAAGAAACGATTGTTGGAAGAAGATTCAAGGGTTTTCTAGATCAGTTTTTGTTGTGTTCTTCCGTCTGTCTAGCTGCTTGTTTGTTTGTTTGTCCACAAAACGTTTAACGTTACCCATAACATTTGATTGCTTGGAACTGTGGCTTTTATACTTAATTAACATGTACATTCCTTGCGGCAAAAGTTTCCTTTGGGTACCAAAATATTTGATCTCTTGACATTTACCTTGGCGTTTGGCATATTTTGCAAAAAATATAAATCGTTAACCAAGACCATAACTTAAGGACAGCTTCCATAATTTAAATGTCCATAGCTTGTGACAAAATCGGTCCATAAATGCTGTATAAATATTTTTGACCTTTTGACCTTGACATTTTTAACATAACGTTTGAACAGTTAGAAGTTGGGCGTTAGTATTTTAAAGGTATATTTCCTGTGACAAAGCATTCCTTTTGATAACAACAAATTTGACCTTTAAGCCTCGACCTTAAAGTTTGACCTACTTTTGTAAAAACATCTATCTTTGTTATGACTTTAAAACATTTGATGCTGGGGTTTTAATATATTACAAGTGCATTTCTTATGACAAAGCCTTTCTTTGGGTACTTTTGCTTTCACCCTTTTTGAACTTAACCTTAAAATTTGACACAAGTTTAAAAAATGATCTTGGTCATAACTTTTGAATGTAAAATATTTCACATTTTTACAAAGTGGATAAATAAATCTAATTAATCATTATAAGTCGTTAATATAAAAGACTGTGCAACCTTTTCAAAGGATTCTTGTTATCATTAGCTTCCTGTTCAAATAAAGTCGAATAATTCAAATTAAAATTGTTAAGTGCCACATTACAAGACACTATTTAAAGGCAGGAATTTTCAAAACTACCTTCGAACAAGACAAAGATGGCTGATACTAATGAAGTCATGGTTAAACTGTATTTTTTTTTGCTTTTAGAAAAATTGTCATATGGTGTAAGTTTAACCCATTAATAGATAGGTTAAAAGTATTAAACAGAAAACAATCTGTGAGTGGTAATTTTCTGTTGCTTTTAGATTATGTTATTTTTTTATTGGAGACAATATCTATAAATAATTCTAAAACAGACTAAACGGGGAGGGGGGGTGTTACAAAATCGTGAATACAAATTTAAAGGATTTTATTTATTGATAGGAAACATTATTGCAAGTCCATATTGTTGGAATACGTATGCTCGACTTCACGGTCGGGCATTTTGGAAAAACTTCAAGGTCTAGCAGTCTGTGAATACTATTACAGATAGTCTGAACGATAACAATTTCGTTGTGTCAATGATTAACACTGGCCTTTTTTGATTGATTCTGAAGTTTGTTGATTTATTGTGTAACTTACACTTTAAGTTTAAGTCGCAAAATGACAAGATTCTAAACTTGCTAGATTCTAAATCTAGCTTGCAAATTATAGCACCTTTCTGGATAATACCGTCAAATAATGAAAAACCTCTTATTTCCTTTTCAAAATCTGTTAGTAACACACTATAATTCTACAAATTACACTTCACAATAAATTATAACTCTAACTGTCAGATATCAGCCTTATTAAAGATTAAAACATTAGCATGATTAATGCTAATGAGTTGATCAGGAACCTAAAAATTGCTAAAGCGCTAGCTTACCTATTTTTTAATTTTTTTTAAAGATAAACTTGTTTTCACAAACAGAGGTCTGCGATCGCTTGTTATTGATCAGGTAGGAATTTCTTTAATCTTAGAAATTGAAAAAAAATGCAGAATGTGTCTATCTATAGATCAACGTCATGGAAACGAACTGAAACTCCCTGCATTTTTAAACCCTGTGTTGTTTTAAACATATTCAATTGATTAACAATGGAACTAAAAAATCATTTTTCAGGTAAGATTTTCCCTTTCTTAATCCCTTGATTAACGGATCATTCAAATAACCATATACAAATAATATAGACGTACATGTAGGATATGGTTTATCTAATTAAGAGATGCATCGGGGCTCAAGCCTACATGTACAACACGCCATGCATATTCAAACCCGTGGGTGCTTTCTGAAAAATGTGCGTAAGTTAAGCTTTGTATATCTAGAACCAGAAGAGTTAACCAAAATAAATTTCATTTCTTTACAATGAAGTGAAAAAATGGTGAAGATAACGAAAAATTATCAGTCTTTAAAAAATCCTTTAAAAATACAAAACTGTGAAAAGGCGTAAAAAGGTACACCAGTAAAATCTCAGATATCGATCAGTTCCCTAACCTAAATAACATGTTGACCTGTCAAAGGCGTTTTTCCTTTGAATTAATCAGGTAGACAAAAAACATTCATTACTCAAATCTGTATAAAAACAAAAAGCTTATAAAAGCTATGAAAGAAGTCAAAAGAATTACGACCCAGTAATTGTTTATGTTTGCTATCAACTTATTTGTCAACATCTTGCCTCCGTTCGTTAAAAAATAATGATCCTACTCGGATAACCCTCTTGCGTTTTGAAACAGTTGGAAGATGAAAACACGTTATGCAATGAAACGTGAGATACTACTAGTTAAATATTACGTGGAGATTTGCCATTAATATTGACATTCAAATGTCATTTCTAATAAAAACACAGATTACATTATTGTTTACCTAAGGTGCGGCAATATAATCACACGTTGCAAACATTATGCTAATTCATGATGGCACAGGAGAAAGCAAACTACTTTCCTACGCATAGAAAAATGAAAAAATATACAAAAAGTAAGAAAATCTAAACATATTTTAAATTAAGTCAAAAGAAATCATAAAATAAATCAAGAATTTTGCACTAGAGGAAAGTTTTGAGTTATATGGAATGCAAGAGTTAAAATAGAAAAATCAACATTCTTGATTGATTGATGATTGATTGTATATAACGTCCCTCTCGAAAAGTTTTTACTCATATGGAGACGCCACCACTTGCTGTTGGAGAGCTGCACATTCTGTCCTTTACTCGGCATTCAGGGTCATAGAGAAGGAAGGGATCTTTTTCGTGCCCACATCTACTGCAACAGTGGACCTCGGTTTATTTGATCTCATCTCCAAGCCCTACAGTGGGATTCGAACGCACGACGTAAGCATCAAATCCTTACTTCGCAACTCTAAAGTAAGCGATCTCAACACTGCACCACGCGGGCGACTCAGGAATTTTTTTTACAAGATTGATAGATGAATACTACAAATGATAACTTATTATACTTATTCATGATATATTTGTAAATGAATGACGTTTTTACGAATGTGTGATATATATATCATAATGTTAAATGCATGTTTTGTTCTGTTATTCAATTGAAAAATAGTTAAAGAAAAATCATCTTTAAAATGTTTTACATTATATATTTCTATTTTTTCTAACCTAATGTATTTTTTTCTATGGAAATCATTTTAAACATTATTAAAGGTACAGAGCAAAATGTGCATTGAACGTGTAACATATATTAAACATGGTGAAACGTACGTTTAACGTGTGATTAAAAATACAATAACCATATGTGAAACGTATGTGAAACATGTGTAACATATACACGCACCTGTAAATCAAACGCTCATTTTACGTTTACTTAAGCGAATTGATAGTTTTTATATATTACGCACTTACATGTAAAACGTGCGACTAGATTACATGTTTGTGTAACATGTGATTCATGTACGATTCAAATTTGGTATGCTCTACCAAACGTTACAGGAATATGTGTTTGTTTTTTCGTTTGACGTATATTGTTTTACGTGCCCATCGAGATTTTATCAGTCAGTCGGATACGCCATCATTTACCGGTTGATAGCTGCAAATTTTGCTCTTTACTCAGCAAGTAGAGCCCTTGAGCAGTGAGGGATCTTTTTCGTTTCAGCACTCGCTGCAACACGGGACCTCGGTTTATACTGTCTTATCTGAAGTACTGGTCTTGACGAACCACAGTGGGATTCGAACCCGCGGCGATAAAATTTATATCTCCTTATTCCTGGAATTTATAACAAACGTTCTAATCACTGCACTAATCTGGTGTTGTTATACAGACGTGGCACAATTATATGTGTACATTAAATGAATTAAAAATTATTCAGTTAAAAGTTCACGATTTCAACAAATATGCATAAGTTTTTCCTTCTGTATGAAATTAAATTAAATTAATTTTGTGTCGAAGGCAGTTTAATAACTGTATAGTCTTTATAGATCTTGTCATTTTTCATTGTAAGTTACATAAAATAACATTATCATCTGATAAATTTACTTTTATTTCATTGACCTTAAACGTGAGAGATGCAAGGGTTGGGTTATCTTACTAGTGGTCGGTTTTATTTAATTTGTGATAAGATATTATTTAAAAGTCTTTGGGTTTCTTTCAAAGTGGTTAAATTGATAGTCGTTCACACAGTAAACAAAGAATTTTATTGTCCAAAATACCGTATAGCGGGTTTTCTTGGCGGGTGTAAAATTTGGAGCTATGCGTGCTCAAAGGTATGCCAATAATTTTGGCGTAATGTATTTTAGCTGACACAGAGTTTCAGCGGTTTGCAGATTAACACTAAGATGAGTATTGACTATTTTTAGCGATTAAAATTTTAGCAGGCTACCATCAAAACGCCAAAATAAGCTAAAATTAGCACCCCGCTAAAATAACCCGCTATACGATATAACAACTTGGTATTTTATTAATTGTGTTTATCGGTTTTTGTGAGATATTTTTATTAAACAAATATCATTTCTTATCGAACAATTTTCAGAAACCTTATTGGCATTTCATTTTAAAAAAAACCCAGACACGTCATTCTGCTACGAATTTAAAAGGTTAGTTTTTCGTAAGATTTGCATAAGCTGTTCAAAAACATGAGTCATAATTGAAATTTAATTAATTAACTTCTAACAAATTATGATTAAATATCAATCATAAGTCTTATTTGTTAATTTATGATAACGTAATGAATTAACTTACATGATTGATTGAATACTTTATTTAAAAAGATGTTCCAATCACTACTTATTTCACTGTTTTCGCAGAGTGTACTATTATTTTTTATCCATGAATCTATAAATATCAATAAAGCTGTCTATTTTTAACTGCATGAATTTCCAAGTTTTATTTTAAGAGACAACAAATCACTTACGGAGACAAACAACTGACAAGAATTCTTGAAAATGCTGTTTTCACTTTGTACGACTTATTTCATTCCACCATTACCCTTTGCTACCATATACTCTGCTTTATAGTTCCAGACATAAAAACCCTGATGTCTTTGCTACATTTGAATTATTTTCTGAGTTGCAAACATGTCAGATAGAACAGTTGAAGAATACACCATGAACTGATATAAAAAAAAAAAATCACGTTTAAGAAATATTTCCAGAAATTAGATTCGTAATTGTCTTAAAACTGTCGTCGGTATATGTACATATGATAAAACTATTTATTTGTGTGGATTTATTACATCATAAATTACTTTTACTGATGTTAGATCTTTTTTTATAAATAAAAAATAAGGATAAAGGGGGATAATTTGCAATGCTCTTATTTTTAAAATTGGGAAAATTTTGGATTTTTCTTTAATCAAACGTTATCGGAAGACCTTTACATTTAGTTGTACTCATATTAAGCAAAATTATTCAAAACCATATATTTACAGTTGCAAATGTTTTTCTTTATATAACACTACTGAAAGGAATGCGTATCTATAACTGTAAAAATACAGGTACGGGGTCAAGAGGTCATAGATGTGCGTATCGTTTGACGTTATTTCTCAGTGACGTCATAAAGGGTCGAACCGCGGTCAGTGGACTACATACTTGCCGTTGAGTTAAAAAAATGATGCATTTCACACGCTAAAAGTCACAATCAGGCAAATATAAAGGATTTATAAGTCACAAATGTTAATATAAGTAATAAGGTATCATTTTCAAACATCTATCGGGCTACAAAAACGGGTTGGTCCGAGATTAAATTCATCGTAAAGCCCTTCGGGCTTTATGGAATTTAATCTCGTGACCAACCCGTATTTATATCCCGATTGATGTTGAAAAATGATACCTTATTTCTTAGATAAATGTGAGGATTATAACACATGATATCGCCTCAAAGTCCATTGAAACAATACAAACAAGGAACAGAGCAATCACAGTGTTCCTTATCATGATCTGGAATACGGAAAAAAAAAGATGTACACAAAATGTAGACCCGTATGTAGATAAAAGGGTTATTATATCGCTGCATAAGTAAGGGAAGTTGTCGATTGAAATTCTAAAGATATCATGTTTTTCATAAAACTTTGTTTTTAGATTACAGGGTTTATCTCAGTTGATTCAACATGCAAGAGAATGGGCTAAGTTTGGACAATGTCTTAAACGAGGTAAGTTATTGAAAAACAAGTTGTATATTTTAACATTTTTAATATCCTTTTTAATACTGTATTCATATTGATAAGTTTTACAAATAATGTTCATTGATAGAGCTCGCCTTAAAGCGCGAAACAAAATAAACACCATAAATAGTTGTTAACTGCTCTTAAGCTTTGGAAATAAAAAAAAATGAATAACGATATGATGGATAAACTTTATCTTTTTTTTCATTGAAAAGCGGCGCTAAAGTGTGCATTTCACTAAATAAACAAACCATTTAATGTTACAAAATAGTGTAAATATATTATTTATTGCTCGACGAGTTTCGCCAAAAATTATTTTTTTAACCAATTAGTGTATGGATATTCGATTAAGTGCATCTCTAAATGGTTTGATTTATATACATACGTGCAAGGCATTCAGCATTGTTCTTGATCTAGCGAAAATTGTTATCCGCCAAAAACTTTAAAAATATATACACAGTTAACTGTAACGTGTTGAGAGTATCGTAAAGCACGTACATATAGAGAGATTAAGATTATAAATAATGTTTGAACCATTGTCTTGCAATGATAATTGGAAATAGCCAATTTTATACCTTTTTAAATCTTTAATCCTTAGCGTTTTTATTCTCTTACATGTTCATGAATATATTTGAATTTTGATTTTACACACCACCTTTATTTCATAACACATTAATTTTTATAATGAAAAAACAATCTTTAACATACTTAAATTTCATTGGAGAAATAATATTACACATCAGTTTTAATCACGTTCTAAACACACAATGTCAGCTCTGTGTTACGGTAGGAAATGATTTACATTCTTTTGTATATTTCAGGGCAGATCTTACTGTTTAGCTGTATCAAGAAATAAAAGGGAGCAAATTTGAAAGGTAGGGTTTTCTTACGGTTCTCCACTATTGTCATATTTTGATATATCAATAAAATGAACTCAAAAGATAGCTGTACAGATTTTGTTTGTCGTGAGGTTAAATCTTTATTGTCATTTAGTAGATTGGCAGGAAAAAATCTCTTTTAATGTTAAATAAATGGATTTTTGCCCAAATGTCATTTTTTCAAAATTTTTGAAAATTACAATCGAGATATACGTGAAACAAATTAAATCAATCCCTAGTTATCTTTTGGTTAAAATGACAAAACCAAATTTAAATAACATTCCATTCACATATTAGACAGGTTGATAAATACAATGGCGAGCATATAATTAAAGTTAATCGTCTAGATCAGATACGAAATCATATCTCATATTCAACCTCTGATGCCTTGGAGGTCAGTACTTGCTCTGCTCGTTTTTTTTTGGTTTTTTTGTTTTTTTTTTTTTTTTTTAATTTTTTTGTTTTATGTTTTATGTTTTATGGGCTTTTGATATTAAAACCTGTTCGTAACCTCCATACGTTTCATCTCAACAAAAATTTACTTTGTTAAAAGTTACTTTTATTCTAATTTTAAATGAGGTAATTGTGTTGATGACTATCAGTTTAAAGTCATTCTGATTCTGGGTCATAGTAGCCATGCAAGTAGTAGAAGAGCGCTCACTTCGTAATCGGGAACCCCAGGTTGGACTCTCGTTCGCCGCACTGTGTCAAACCTCATACCTTAAAATTAGGATCGAGTGGCTGTTCCTTTGCATGGGACCGGTGAAAACTGGTTAGATCATTTAGAAAATCTTAAAATTCCATATATATCATGTTTAGTAAACAGTGATGGTTCCATTCGATCTCTATCTTGCAAAAAGTTGGCGTCCCCTAGTTAGCAGAGTTGCACAGCTATCTTATATGTACATTAGAATTTTCTTAATTGATCACGAAAGTTGTTCATTGCACAGACGTGGGCTTGGTAAAATATATATATCAAATGCTTACTAGCTAATGTAGTAAGCAAGGGCAAATAAGTTTCCAATTTTCTTTTTATGACCTTTAAATGTTACACACAAACAAACATTAACAACGCACAGTGACAAGGACGATTTTCTTGTTGACAGCTTTAAGGTCATACGCAACATAGTTTGCGCTTTATTGGGTTCTTCCCTGGAGTTGAAGAGTTCCACTACATGAAAGACCCATGTGCAATACTTTTAATGTCTATATCTGGATTTGTACACCTCTTCTTCAACAAATTTTGATGAAAGAAAATCTGCAATTTATGCTTTGTAATTTTTGTACATTTTTCTTTGAATAATGCAAAATTTTTCATAATTTAATATCTTTTCAAAATCCCTGGTAACACAATCTGATTTTTTGTCTAAGAACATGTAATAGTATTATAAGTTTAAATTTTGAATATCCTAAAAAATTATCAGTAGGTAAGGTACCCTGCGTATGTCCTTAATATTAAACTGATAAACAGCAATTACTGATTGATTTTCTTTTTTATGAACTGTCACTACGGCTCTTTGTTGATGTTTGATATTTTCCCCCTGTATATCATTCCATTGTTTCCACTTCCTGTTTCAATTAGGGGTGAAGAGGCACTATAGAAAATTCAATGTCAACTAGATGAATTAGTTGATAAAGTAGTCCAGTAAAAATAGCAAAAAAATGTAAAACCTTAAACTAAATGCAACAGAATTTTCTTAAGTATTTTATGAAAGTTCAATAGGTATGCAATGAAATATGAAAAATCGGAAAATTGCCATCGAGGCAACATTTAGAAAGAATGGGTGAACTTAACTGGCCAGAAAAAATGCCGTAAATTTAAGTTCTATAAAATGTTAAATTTTTCCATCATATTAACCCCTGATATCTTAACTGTTTATTTTTGGTACGGGTGTGAATTTTAAATGCTCTTTTCAAGGTATACTAAATAAATATCGAAGGCATGGTGTCTGAAGATTTCTCGAATATCAATACATGTAGATAATCAGGGTCACGCATTTTTCATCATCTGAATACATAGCGCATGTTTGTCGGCTGTTTTTACGAAAACTGTAGCTGTATATTTAACAACATTATGTCATATTAAAAGGAGAAAAGCTGACAAACGTGCGCTCACACTTAATTTAACAAAAAACATGTTAAAAACAAACTTCTCGCTTCCATAGAAATGTCTTCGATTAAAATTTTAAATATCACAATTTGTCACGTGATGTCCACCTGCGAGCGAGTATACTCGTGAAAACAGTTACATTGTTTTCTTCATATATTTTATATAACAATATAATATATTTCTTCATCATATTTTTCAATTATTTTTTAAAATAATTTTATATTGACATATCACTGTAATACAGTATGCTAAACACGCATTCGAATTTTTTTTTGAGAGAGAGAGAGAGAAAGAAAGGGATAGAGAGAGAAATGTCAACACTGACACCAATTGATAGCCCCGCCTCCTATAAAAATTGATTGTGTGACATACATGTTAAAACCAATCCGGGTACATGTCGAATTCCGGAAGGCGACATTCGTATATCATTGGTCTAATTTTGATACACGACAACGGAGCATTGTTTTTGCACAAATGTTCCACCCAGTATAACCAAGTATATGTTGCTCTTTCCATCGCTCATTATTTATTTTGGATTCACTTCATTTACAGATTGTTAGAGGAGTCGCAAAAAGATCCAAAATGGGGCGTTAAGTCCACCCATTCTTTAGATTGGAAATATCTAATATTTTGTTGGAAAATAAGAAAAAAAATGAAAATCAATAT